ATTGTTGATTTCAGATTGTTCGGGTAGATACCCAGTAGTGGGATAGCTGGGTCATATGGTATTTCTATTTCTAGAGTTTTGAGGAATTCCATACTGTTTTCCATAGTAGCTGCACCAGGTAGCATTCCCACCAGCAGTGTATGAGGGTTCCTTCTTTCCACACCCTTTCCAACATTTGCTATTTTTAGTCTTAGTGATTATAGCCATTTTAATGGATGTTAAGTGGTAGTTTTGATTTGCATTTCCCTGATGATTAGTGTTGTTGAACATCTTTTCATGTGTTTATTGGCCATTTGTATATCTTCTTTGGAAAAATGTCTGTTCATATCCTCAGCCCATTTTTTGATTGGGCTGTTTGTTTGTTTGTTGTTCAGTTGTGTGAGTTCCTTGTATATTATGGAGATTACCCCTTTGTCAAATATATGCTTTGCAAATACTTTCTCCCAATTGGTGGGTTGTCTTTTTGTTTTGATCCTAGTTTCTTTTGCCTTGCAAAAACTCTTTAGTCTGATGACGTCCCAATTGTTTATTTTTTCTTTTGTTTCCCTTGTCCAAGAAGACATGGTAGTCGAAAAGATCCTTTTAAGTTTGACGTCACAGAGTGCACTATGTATATTATCTTCCAGGAGTGTTGTCGTTTTAGGGTGCATCTTCAAGTCTTTTATCCATTTTGAGTTTACTTTTGCATATGGCATGAGATAATGGCCTAGCTTCATTCTTTTGCAAGTGGTTGTCCAGATTTCCCAACATCATTTATTGAAGAGATTATCTTTTCTCCATTGTATATTCTTGGCACCTTTGTCAAAGAATAGCTGTGTGTAGATGTCCAGTTTTATTTTTGGGTTTTCAGTTCTGTTCCACTGATCTGTGTGCCTGTTTTTGTACCAGTACCATGCTGTTTTGGTTACTATGACTTTGTAGTACATTTTGAAATCAGGGAGTGTGATGCCTCCAGCTTTGTTCTTTTTTCTCAGGATTGCTTTAGCACTTCAGAGTCTTTGGTTGCCCCATATGAATTTTAGGATTCCTTGTTCTATTTCAGTGAAGAATGTCATTGGGATTCTGATTGGGATTGCATTGAATCTGCAGGTTGCTTTGGGTAGTATGAACATTTTAAATATGTTTGTTCTTCCAATCCATGTGTATGGAATCTCTTTCCATCTATTTATGTCATCATTTATTTCTTTCAATAATGTCTTATAGTTTTCATTGTACAAGTCCTTCAGCTCCTTGGTTAAATTTATTCCTAGATATTTTATTCTTTTTGTTGAGATGTAAATGGAATTGTATTCTTGAGTTCTCTTTCTGTAAGTTCGCTATTAGAGTATAGAAATGAAACTGATTTTTATAAGTTGATTTTGTACCCTGCAACTTTACTGTAGTTGTTAATTATTTCTAACAGTTTTCCAATGGATTCTTTAGGGTTTTTTATACATAAGATGATGTGGTCTGCAAACCGAGAGTTTCGCTTCTTCTCTTTCTATCTGGATTCCTTTTCTTTCTTTCTCTTGCCTAATTGCTCTGGCCAAAACCTCCAGTACTATGTAGAATAACAGTGGTGATAGTGGGCATCCTTGTCTTCTTCCTGTTCTCAGAGGGATAGCTTTCATTCTTCTTAAATTTATTGAGGCTTGCCTTGTTTCCCAAGATATGGTCTGTCCTTGAGAATGTTCTGTACACACTTAAGAAGAATGTGAATTCTGCTATTTTTGGAGGGAGTGTTCTATATATGTCTGTTAAGTCTAACTGGTCTAGCTTTTCACGTAATTCCACTGTTTCCTTGTTGATGTTCTGTCTGGATGATCTATCCACTGATGTGAGTGGAGTGTTGAGGTCCCCTACTATTATTGTATTATTATTAATATCTTATTTAGGCTTGTTAACAGTTGTTTTACATACTTTGGTGCTCCTGCGTTGGGTGGATAGATATGTATAAGTGTTATGTCTTGTTGGTGGAGTGGCCCTTTGATCATTATATACTGCCCCTCTTTTTCTCTCTTTACCCATCTTATCTTGAAGTCTATTTTGTCTGATATAAGTATTGTGATACCTGCTTTCTTTTGTTTGCCATTATCTTGGAGTATCATCTTCCATCCCTTCACTCTGAGCCTGTATCTGTCATTAGAGCTGCTATGTGTTTCCTGGAGGCAGCATATTGTTGAATCTTGTTTTTTAATCCATCTTGCCATTCTACGTCTTTTTATTGGAGAATTCAAACCATTTACATTTAGGGTGATTATCAATATATGAGGGCTTAATGCTTCCATTTTATCATTTGTTTTCCAGTTCTCCTACATTTCCTTCTCATTTTATGGTTACAGGTCTTACAGTCAAGTCTCTAATCCATTTTGAGTTAATTCTTGTGTATGATATAAGATAGTGGTCTACTTTCAGTCTTTTGCATGTGGCTGTCCAGTTCTCCCAACACCATTTATTGAAGAGACTTTCCTTTCTCCATTATCTGTTTTTGGCTCCCTTGTCAAAAATTGGTTGTCCATAGATATGTGGGTTTATTTCTGGGATGTCAACTCTGGTCCATTGATCTGTGTGTCTGTTTTTGTGCCAGTACCATGCTATTTTGATTACTATAGCTTCATAATATATTTTGAAATCAGGGAGTGTGATACCTCCAACTTTGTTCTTTTTACTCAAGATTGCTTTGGGTATTCAGAGTCTTTTACTGTTCTATGTAAATTTTAGGATTCTTTGTTCTATTTCCAGTAAAAATATCATTGGGATTCTGATAAGGATAGCATTGAATCTATAGATTGCTTTAGCGAATATGGACATTTTAACTATGTTGATTCTTCAAATCCACGGACACAAAATATCTTTCCATTTCTTTGTGTTTTCTTTTATTTCTTTCAATAACGTCTTACAATTTTCAGTGTACAGTTCTCTCACCTCCTTAGTTAAATTATTCCTAGATATTTTATTCTTTTTGTTGTGATTGTAAATGGGATTGTATTCTTGATTTCTCTTTCTGCTAATTCGCTGTTAGTGTATAGAAATACAACTGATTTTTGTATGTTGATTGTGTACCCTGCAACTTCACTATATTTGTTAACTATTTCTAATAGATTTTTGGTGGGTTCTTAGGGTTTTTGATACATACAATCATGTCATCCACAAATAGTGAAAATTTTACTTCTTCTTTTCCAATCTGGATACATTTTATTTCTTTTTCTTGCCTAATGGCTCTGGCTAGACCTTCCAATACTATGTTAAATAAGAGCGGCAAGAGTAGGCATGCTTGTCTTGTTCCTGTTCTCAGAAGGATAGCTTTCAGTTTTTCCCCATTGAGTATGATGTTATCTCTCAATTTCTCATATATGGCCTTTATTATGTTGAGGTGCTTTCCTTCCATACACATTTTATTGAGAGCTTTTGTAATAAATGGATGCTGTATCTTGTTGAATGCTTTCTCTGCATCTATTGAGATGCTTATGTGATTTTTTCCTTCATTTTGTTAATCTGGTGTATCACATTGACTGATTTGCAGATGTTGAACCATCCTTACATCCCTGGAATAAATCCCACTTGATTATGGTGTATGATCCTTTTAATGTAGTGTTGTATTCAATTTGCTAATATTTTGCTGAGGAATTTTGCATCTATAGTTATGGGCGATATTGGTCTGTAATTTTCCTTCTTTGTGTTGTCCTTGTCTGGCTTTCATATCAGGGTAATGGTGGCATTGTAAAATGAGTTAGGAAGTGTCATATCCTCTTCAATTTTTTGAAAGACTTTGAGAAGGATAGCTATTAATTCTTCTTTGAATGTCCGGTAGAATACATCAGAGAAGCCATCTGGTCCTGGACTTCTGTTTTTGGGGAGATTTTTGATTACTGTTTCAATCTCTTTAACATCAGTCTGAGCAGCATCTTTTTGAATATGTCTCCTCAGGCAAGGAAAACAGAAGAAAATATAAACAAATGGGACTACATCAAACTAAAAAGCTTCTGCATAGCAAGGGAAACCATCAACAAATCGAAAAGACAACCTACCAGTTGGGAGAAGATAATTGCAAATCATCTATTTGATAAGGGGTTAATATTCAAAATCTATAAAGAAGTCATACAACACAACAACAACCCAACTAAAAAATGGGCAGAGGATCTGAACATTTTTCCAGAGATGACATATAGATGGCCAACAGGCACATGAAAAGATGTTTAACATCTCTAATTATTAGGGAAATGCAAATCAAAACCATAATGAAATATCACCTCATGCCTTTTAGAATGGCTTTCATTAAGAAGACAAGAAGGAACAAGTGTTGGAGAAGATGTGGAGAAAAGGGAACTCATACACTGCTGTTGGGAATGTAAATTGGTTCAGCCACAATGGAGATTCCTCAAAAAATTAGAAATAGAACTACCATATTCTACTATTCTACTTCTGGGTATTTATCCAAAGTAAACAAAAACACTAATTTGAAAAGTTATTTGCACCCCTATGTTCATGTCAGCATTATTCACAATATCCAAGACTTGGAACCAACCTAAGTGCCCATCAATAGATGAATGAATAGATGAATAGCTATAGCATATATATACAATGGAACACTACTCAGCCTTAAAAACAATGAGATATTGTCATTGCAACAACATGGATGGACCTTGAAGGTATTATGCTAAGTGAAATAAGTCAGATGGAGAAAGTCAAACACCATATGATTTCACTTGTATGTGGAAGATAAGCAAACAAAGAAACTATCTAACACACAGATACAGAGAACAGATTGGTGGTTACCAGAGGGGAAGGGGGGTGGGGAGAGGGCAAAAGGGGTACAGGGGCACATTTGTGTGGTGATGGATGGCAACTAGAATTTTGGCGGTGAACACACTGTAATCTATACAGAAGTTGAAATATAATGATGTACACCCGAAATTAACATATTGTTATAAAGCAATGTTACCTCAAAAAAAGGCATTACATTTAGATGAGACAGGAGTTCAGAAGTCTTAATAATTAAACCGATGAGAGTTACATTGAGCCATTTAGTTCCTTTATTGTTGTGTCTTTCGAATTTCTCTTGTATGTAAATAACAGTTAAACTATTCTTGGAAGAACAATAACTAGGTACAATAGTTTATACGCTGTCTGAGGAGGTGCTTCCCCAGGTGGTTTCCAGTTGGGATACTCTGTCGGTAAAACACAACAGTTAAGAGCTCAACGTAGTTTCAAGGAGAGAAAGTAACTGAATCAACACTGAAATATTTTGATACATACTTTGAAGTTTGTCACGTTCTTTATTATCTAAAATAGAAAAAATAATATAAAATTAAAAGCATTTACTTACTTGTCTGACTTTTTGAACAAGATAATCAGCTTAGGAAACTTCGTTTGGCTTTTTACCTTAAGTAAGTGAAAGCTTCCTCCTCAAATCCCACAGGACTTAAAAATCTCAGATGCCCACTGCCAGTAATGTCATGCCCACAAATATTTCTAGAGTGCCTCTCCTATTGAAGGCACAAAAGCCTAAAAGAGGCAGAAGTATACACAGTAGTTAACTCTATTTTTGGCCCTCTGCCATGCCCATTTAAAGTTTTTGAAAAAGAACATAATTCTTTCTTGTTGAGTTTTGGATATGCAGAGCCCTTCATTAAACGTCTTGTTCATTTCTGCAGTGGCCCTTGCTCCACACTTTGCTTTACATCTTTCTCCCATCATATTTTTCTCCCTTATTTGCCATTTTAACAGGACCCTGAGATTTGTTAGAAATTCATTTATTTCATTTTTTTTCATTCATGTACTCATTTTTTGAGTGACTACTATGTCTGTATGGTTATCAGGAAATAATAAAGTTCTTTTCCTTAAAGAAAAGTGAAGGAAGAAAATCTATCATCAATTTAAAACTCAGATACATAAATAAAAATGATCATTTCAGAGAGTGATTCATGCTATGAAAAAAATAAACTGGGTCAATGATAGAAAATAATGAGGAACTTAACTATAATAATAGCTAAAATTTACTGAGCACTTACTTTATTTGGGGCTCAAGTCACTTTGTATGATTTATCATACTAATTCTCTTAGTCACCTCCTGAGTTAAGCAATCTGACTCCAGGTCTAAACATTTAACCATTATGTTACATCTCCTCAAAAAAGAAGTTAACAGGGGCCAGCCAGGTGGTGCAGTGGTTAAGTTTGCAAGCCCTGCTTCAGCGGCCCAGGGTTCACTGGTTCAGATCCCAGGTTCAGATCTACGCACCGTTTTCTAGGCCATGCTGTGGTAGGCATCCCACACATAAAGTAGAGGAAGATGGGCACGGATGTTAGCACAGGGCCAGGCTTCCTCAGCAAAAAGAGGAGGATTGGCAGCAGATGTTAGCTCAGGGCTAACCTTCCTCAAAAAAACAAAACAAAACAGAAAAAAAAAGAAGTTAACACAGTTAAAAGTTGGCTTTCTATAGAAAATGATGGACAAAAAAGAGGAAAGGCACAAACCAAAAATCATAGGACTTAAACAAATGGAACATAGATAGAACAGAGATAAAAAGATAAGAGAATTTCATTAAAACTTGAATAAAACAGAAATTTGCCAATTTTCACTCAGAACCTGAATTTCACATAACATTTATTTATTTATTTTTGCTTGAGAAAGTTTGGCCCTGAGCTAACATCTGTGCCAATCCGCCTCTATTTTCTATGTGGATTTCCACCACAGCATGGCTAGATGAACAGTGTAGGTCTGGGATCTGAACCCTCAAACTTTAGGCTGCCGAAGCGGAGCATGCCGAACTAACCACTACACCACCGTGCCAGCCCCTCATAGAACATTTAAAGAAATTAAATTGGTAATTAAAAATCTACAAACACATACACATACAAACAAGAGCAAAATCATTTTACAGAAAACTTCTCCCAGACATTAAAAAAATAAATAATCGGAATCTTACAAAAATTGTAACCAAAATGTTAAAAGAAGTAATGTTGCCAACTTTCAACTTCTTTTATGAGACAACTTCAATCTTGCAGTCAAAATCATATTAGGAGAAATGAAGAAGGAAAATTACAGACGAGTCATAATTTTAAAATTAAATGCAAAAATTATAAGTAAAATGTTAACAGAAATCTAGCAATCTATAAAAGAAACCTCATGACCAAATTGGATTTATCATGGTAATGAAAGAACAGTTTAAATTTGGATTACTGAGCCATCACTTGACTCCTGATACCTATATGAAAGTATAAATCTCATTGGTTAAGTTGTATACATTAAACACATGTACAGCTTTTTATAAGTCAATTATACTTCAATAAAGTGGTTTAAAATAATAACAAGGGAAGTTATAAATAAAAAATGGAAACAGGAAATAGAATATGATAAAAGACAGATTTTAAAAATTAAAAAACCAGCATGTACCTACCTCTTTACAATATTATTTATTTGTATACAATATTATTTGTAATACAATAATTTGAAAATATTAGTGAAATGGACCAATATTGAAAAAAAAATTGTATTTACTCAATGTGGGATTTAAAGCACAACTAAATTTTTAAAAATTAAAGTTGCACAGTATTACTTCTAAAATGGTTTCCAAAAAAAGGGAAATCTTTTGATGTAGTTTAAAACATTAAAACACTAAAGGAAAAAAAGTTGGGGATCATTTCAAGAGAGGCAGAAAAAAAATCTGATAAACTTTCATTCAAGATAAAAGCTCATAGAAAAACAAGGAAAAGAGAAAACTTCCATAACCTGGCAGTGAGGATTCATTAAAAACTATCTAAAGCAAATATGCATAATGGTGAAACACTATTTTTAAAGTCAGGAACAAGAGAATGGTATCTACTATTATAGCTCATGATCAACATTGCACTGGAAGATTCACTATTAATATTAGTAAAATAAATAACCGACAAAGATCAGAAGAAAGAACAAGACTTGCATTTTTTACAAATAACATGATTGTCATTATAGAAAATCCATGAGAATCAACAAATCATTAGAAATAATAAGAGAATTCAGTAAGATTCCTGGATAGTAGACTGATATAAAAATAATGTATATTTCTATAAATCAGCAGAAACCAATTAGGAAACATAATTTTAAAACACCATTTATAATAGCAGCAAATACCTGTTAGCAAGGAATCTAATTTGATGTCTAAGACCTTTACTGAGAACATTTCAAAACTTAAGTGAAAATGTTTAAAAAGCCAGAATAAAGCATCTTTATTAATGGAAATAGTCAATGTGCTAAAGATGCTAATTCTTCCCAAATTTATCTATAAATTCAATGTAATTCCAACCAAAATTTCCAGGTCTTCTGTGGAATTGATAAGTTTACCTTAACATTAATATGCAAAAGCAAAGGGCCAAGATTAGCCAAATAATTTGGGAAAGGAACAAGTCAGGGAAACACCTGCTACCAGGTATCAAAGCTTTATTGCAGCCTCTGCAGCTTGTGGGTACTGTCTGGGAGACCCACTGTCAACAGCTGCTTCAGTCTCCAGGATGGAGTCTTTTATTACAGATAAAAGCTCTCATCAAGCACAGCTAGAAAATCCATATAACATAAAACAAAACAATGTTTAAGAGTGCTAAAGCAACAAAGACTAGAGGATCAAGATTTCAGATTAGGAGATCCTTGGAGAGGTGGGCTGATGTTATGAAAGCTATTCTTTTCCTGGGGCCATTTGTTTTTTCTGGGCCCAGGACTAGAGCTGAAAATCTGGTCTTTGCCTAGGCAGAGGTCAATTTCCGGAAAACAGAGAAATCAGCAGAGCTTTTGCTGGCCTTGCAGGGCTAGAGAGATATAATTGGAGAATTGCATAGTTCAAGATCCGGCTGAGGGGTAGAGGTGGAAGAAATGAGCCCAAGAGATGCCCATTTTGCACTCAAGCTGTGTGTTTAATTTTGAAGCTGTCGGGGGCAGGAGGCTAAAACACTAGGCTGAAAACCTCTGGAAATCAAAGCAGATTTTTCAGTAATTTCTGCATGCTAAAGCAGTAAGGATTTGGGTTCAGAACCCACCAGGGAAAGGCAACAATGAACACACCAGTCTTTCCATGGTAAGCCCCAGAAGTCTACACCTGTGGAACAGGGGCGAACAGAGGTAGACGGAACCTTACATAAATTCTAACCAGCCTCAACTGAATTCCGTTTGGATTAAGGTGAACACCCCTGACTCTACTGTTCAGCAGAGGAAAAGGCAGAACACTCTACATTTTTGTTTTACACATGTTGTTAAGCGTTTAATAAAAACTTACTAGGCACACCAAGTATTTCCAAAATCTACTGCTGGGAAACAAATCCAAGACTTAGTGGCTTAAAAGAATAAAAATTATTATTTCTCACAATGACCTGGGTTGGCTGGCTCTACTAGGCGATTCCTCTGCTATATGTAGTGTCATCAGGGTTCAACGACATGGCTGCACTTAGCCAGAACTCATTCGGGGTTGAAACAGAAAAATGACCTCTCCTCTCCAGGGCTTTTCTCAGTGTGACATCTCCAGCAGGAGAGCATGGATTTCTTAACGTGCTGGGGGGCTTCTAACAGCAAAAGCCAGAGCTGCCAGGTCTCTTAAAGGCCAGGCCCAGAACCGACACAATTATCAGGTCCTTATTCCAGGGGAGGAGAAACAGTGTCCCTTCCTGATGGGAGGAGGGGCTTGTGTGTAAAGGAGGGGAGAAATTGTTGGCAGCTGTCTTTAAAGACAATTCACCACACGAAGAAACAGAGCATATTACCAAAACCAAGGGGAAACAAAACAGTCCTGAAACTAGAAACAGACCCACAGGTGATCTGCATGCTGGACTTTTTAGAAGGAGGTTGGAATGTTGGGAGGTAGAGATGATGGAGCTTACTATGTCAAAGAGAGGATAACAAAAAATACAATAGGAGAGAGAGACCAGAGACAGAGACGCTGGGCTTGTCAGCCACGGGGTGTAGAGTCAGGCGTGTCTTCAACTGCAGTAAGAAGCAAGTGATGAATTTTAAGAAAAGACGTTATTTGATCTGATTTTCTTTATGTAAAACAGTTTTAAGTAGAAAGAGAAGTGGGAGACCACTAGTTCAGGTGGAAAATGATGGTGGTTTAGATACCAGGCAGGAAGGCGAGGTGAAAAAATAGTGCACCATTGTTGTCTTTATATCCCTTGACTGGAAAACATTAGTTTGCAAATACAAGATAGACAACAAATTTATTTTTAAAAATTCTTTGAAATCTGAAATTAGAGGGACCATACTTACAATTCATTCCGTAATTGAAATGTATGAATATAGAAACATGCATACCTCATAAATGGAAAGATTGATGAATTACTACAAAGTGAGCACACCTGGGGAACTACAGCATAGGTCCAGAAAGTCCTTGGCATCCTCATCTAATTACTAACTCCTCTTTCCTCTCTAAAGGTAACCAGTATCCTGGCTCCAGATGTAGATGCGTTTTCATGATTTTGAACTTTGCAGAAATGGAATTATTTAATATGCATTTTTTGTGTCTGTCTTCTTTCATGGCACCACCTTTTTTTTGAACAATTTTCAAATCATCTCCACTCTTCACCCATCTCACTCTGTCCTCAATCAAGAATTTACACATTTATCCTTAAAAAGTAACTCTGTTCTGAAAACTAAAGGCCGGTGATGAAAGAGAAACATAGTTATAAATCACAATTAATTTGGACACTAATGTATTGCTTCTGAATGAGTCACTATTTTAGTAACAAGAAATAAAAGCAGGTGGATGGAAGAAAATACAGATAAGAAACACTTCAACCGATCGCTGTTTTGAGTGCAGCAGCAAACTCCATCAGTTCTGCCTGCCTCTTTCCTGTCCTTTAGCCTGAGAGGGGAAATAATCAGGGAAGAAGGGAGGGGCCATCTGAGTTTAAATATGATAATTTATGACAAATAATTTGTATCATATAGCAGCAATCAAATCTTGCCCATAAATTCTCTATAAGCTTACGTAGCCAAATTTTAAAATATAGTGAATTTGTTCTCCAATCAGAATGTGATGGTTATTTTTCCCTTTGGCTTACGGCAGAGCTTCTTTGCACAAGTGTCTCCTGCTGCACACATAGAGCAGGAGGCTCCTTTAGTGTAAGGGATGACATTTCGAATATTTCCACTGTAAAAAAGAGAAACATTGATTAGCCAAATGGTTATTAATTTCTCTAATTTTGTGCATGCATTTAAGCAAGTTGTTTTGGTCACTCACCAAGTTATGAATGTTGAAAAGGAAAAAATAAATTTTACCCCAATTTTATGTTCATTTCTTTTGTAAAAAGAAACTACTGAGACTGTCCTTTACAGGATGTCCCTGATCCATGTGGCAGTTATATTCTTGAATATTCTTTAGAACACAAATTAGATGTAAACCCAATATAATTATGCATGTGACCGTCACAACGTTTTTGTTGTAAACACTGTGATTACCTCTTGATTTTGTAAATGGAATAAGCAAGATTTAAATTGCAGATGGAAACATGCTTTATGGTTTAATTTAAAAGTACAATATCACAGTCCTTATCTAGTTCTACTTGATGATGTGCCAAAAAGATTTGGCAGCTGTTATGCCTACTTTTCAATAATATAAGTTGATACATTTTGAAAAATATCTTTTTTCCATCTCTGTGACAGTGGAAGACTTAAAAAAGTGTTATTTACCTAGAGCACACAAAGAAAAACGTTGATAACAGGAGCGGTATTCCACTAAAGAAGATGGCACAATTGGTTTATCCATTCATCCACTGATGGACATTTGAGTTGTTCTAGTTTTTGGCTAGTACAAATAAAAGTTACTATGCACATTTTGAACATTCGCATACAAGTCTTTATATGGACATACATTTGCTTGGATAAATACCTAGGATTGGAATGAATAGATCACATGATAAGTGCATATTTAACTTTTTAAGAAATTGCTGCACTGTTTTTACAAAGTAGTTGTAACACTTTATATTCCTACTAGCAGTGTGTGAGAATTCTAGCCTTAGGATCTGGAGCCACCTGTCTTTAGCCATTCTAATTGTGTAGTGGTATTCATTGTGATTTTAATTTGTATTTCTCTAATGGTTAATTATTTTGAGTATCGTTTCATGTGCTTATTTTCCATCTGCATATCTTGTTAATCTTTTGTCCTTTTTGTTCTTGTTGAGTTTTAAGTTTTCCTAATATTGATTGTGGGAGTTCTTCCTATATTCTTGTCATAAATCCTTTATCATATGTTTTGCAAAGACTTTCTTCCAATCTGTGGCTTATATTTTCATTGTCTTACCAGTGTCTGAATAGCAGTAATTTTTAATTTTAATGAAATCCAGTTAATCTATTTATTCTCTTATGGATCATGCTTTCGGTGTGGTAGCTAAAAAATCTTTGTCTATCATAAGGTCACAGAAGTTTCATCTATGTTTTCTTCTGAAAGTTTTATAGTTTTAGGTTTTACATTTTAGGTCTATGATCCATTTTGAGTTAGTTTTTAAAGGTTGTATGTTGTGTGCATCCTAGTCTACCTTTGTTTTTTATATATGGATGATAAATTGCTCTGGCACCATTAGTTGAAAAATCTTTTTTCACTGTATTGCTTTTGTGCATTTGTGAAAAATCAGTTGAACATATGTGGTCAATCATGTATGGGTTTATTTCTAAACTCTGTATTCTGTTCCACTGATCTTTTTGTCTAACTTTATATCAATATCACAATGTTGTAATTATTCTAGCTTTAATAATTCTTGAAAACAGTAGTGTTAGCCCTTCAAATTTGTTTTGTTTTCCACAGTTCTTTTGGCTATTCTAAGTCCTGTGCATTTCCATATGAATTTTATTATCAGTTTGTCAATTTCTACAATAAAATCCTGCTGGGATTTTTATTGGGATTATATTGAATCTGTAGATCAATTCAATGAAAATTTACATCTTAACAATAATGAGTCCTTTAACCCATTAATAAGGTGTATCTCTCTAATTATTTGTGTCATTGTTAATTTCTGTCATGAACATTATGTGGTTTTTCAGTGTACATGTCTTTCAAGTTTTCTGCCAGATTTATCCCTAGATAATTTATATATATATTTTTTTCTGATTCTTTTTTTTATTAATTAATGTTATGACAGATTACAACCTTGTGAGATTTCAGTTGTACATTTTTGTTAGTCATGTTGTGGGTACACCTCTTCCCCCTTTGTGCACTCCCCCCACCCCCCCCCTTTTCCCTGGTAACCACCGATCAGATCTCCTTGTCAATATGTTAACTTCCACCTATGAGTGGAGTCATATAGAGTTCACCTTTCTCTGACTGGCTTATTTCACTTAACATAATACCCTCGAGGTCCATCCATGTTGATGCGAATGGGCCAATTTTGTCTTTTTTTATGGCTGAGTAGTATTCCATTGTGTGTATATACCATATCTTCTTTATCCAATCATCAGTTTCTAGGCATGTAGGTTGGTTCCACGTCTTGGCTATTGTAAATAATGCTGCGATGAACATAGGGGTGCAAGGGACTCTTGGGATTTCTGATTTCAGGTTCTTAGGATAGATACCCAGTAATGGGATGGCTGGGTTATAGGGTATTTCTATTTTTAACTTTTTGAGAAATCTCCATACTGTTTTCCATAGTGGCTGTACTAGTTTGCATTCCCACCAACAGTGTATGAGGGTTCCTTTTTCTCCATAACCTCTCCAACATTTGTCGCTCTTGGTTTTGGATGTTTTTGCCAATCTAACGGGTGTAAGGTGATATCTTAGTGTAGTTTTGATTTGCATTTCCCTGATGATTAGCAATGATGAACATCTTTTCATGTGTCTATTGGCCATATTTATATCTTCTTTTGAGAAATGTCTGTTCATGTCCTCTGCCCATTTTTTGATCGGGTTGTTTTTTTTTTGTTGTTAAGCCATGTGAGTTCTTTGTATATTATGGAGATTAACCCTTTTAGATAATTTATATCTTTGATGCTACTATGAATGGTATTGTTATTTTAATTCAATTTATGGTTGTTCATTGCTAGTATATGGACATGTAATTGAGTTTTGTATACTGATTTTGTATCCTTAAAAATTGCTAAACTTCCTTATTAGTTCTCCAAGATTTTTCATAGATTCTGTTGGCTTTTTATATAGACCTATGGACCAGTAGTCAGCACAGTATGGCTCATAGGTCAAATAGGGCCTGTGGTCTGTTTTTATGGAGTCTGTGAGCTACGAATTGTTTTTTTTAATGTTTTTAATGAGTTATATAAAACAAAACAAAAACAAAGATGCATATGTAACAGAACGTATGTGGCATGCAAAGTCTAGCATATTTACTGTCTGGTACTTTACAGAAAAAGTACAGCAAAAGTACTGTAAAGTTTTTTCCTATTGATATAATGCTACATATAGGCTTTTTGTAGATGCCCTCTATTAGGTTTAAATAGTTCCCTTCTATTTCTAGTTTGCTGAGCACTTTTATCAAGAATGAATGTTTTGAGGGCTGGCCCCATGGCATAGTGGCAAAGTCCTATGTGCTCCACTTTGGTGGACCAGGTTTGTGGGTTCAGTTCCCAGATGCAGACATACACCACTCATCATGTCATGCTGTGGTGGTGCTCTACATATGAAAAATAGAGCAAGATTGGCACAGATGTTAGCTCAGGGCAAATCTTTGTCACCAAAAAAGAAGAATGAATGGCTTTTTCTCTATTGAGATGATCATATGATCATATGATCTTTATTTTTAGGTTGATTAATTAATATAGTGAATTACATTGATGGATTTTAGAATGTTAAATCAGCCCTGTATTCCTGGAATAAACTCCATTTGGACAAGGCATATTATGCTTTTACTATATTGTTGGATTCAATGGCTAAATTTTGTTTAGAATTTTTGTACCTGTGTTCATAAGAGATATTGCTTTGTAATTTTCTTTAGATTTCATTTATCCTTTGTAATTTGTGTGTTTTGAGGAATTTTTCCATTTCATCCAAGTTGACTCATGATCAGTTAACTCCATTATTATTTTGAAGTGATCTTCTTTACCTCAGGTAATATTCTTTGCTCTAAAATCCACATTATCTGATTTTGCTATAGACCCTGCAGCTTTATTTTGACTAATGTTAGCATAGTAAACATTTTTCCATTCTTTTACTTTTTTTTTTATTTTTATTTTTTTTAAAGATTTTTTTTTTTTATTTTTTCCTTTTTCTCCCCAAAGCCCCCCGGTACATAGTTGTGCACTCTCCGTTGTGGGTTCTTCTAATTGTGGCACGCGGGACGCCGCCTCAGCGTGGTCCGATGAGCAGTGCCATGTCCGCACCCAGGATTCGAACTAACGAAACACTGGACCGCCTGCAGCGGAGCGCGCGAACCCAACCACTCGGCCACGGGGCCAGCCCCTCCATTCTTTTACTTTTAATCTATTTGTGTCATTATATTTAAAATATGCTTTTTGTAGACAGAATATAATTGGTTCTCAATTTCTTAGCCAATCTTGCCATCTCTGCCTTTTCGTTTGGGTGTTTGTACCATTTACATTTGATGTGATAGTGACATAGTTAGGTTTGAGGCTGTCATATTCTTATTTATTCTGTTTGTCTCATCTACCCTTTGTTCCCCCTTTCCTCTTTTTCTGCATTCCTTTCGATTAGTTAAATATATTTTAAAATTTAACTGTACCTGCTTTGTTCGCTTATTTGCTATTACTCTTTGTTTTGTTATTTTAGTAGTTACTTTATGGTTTATAGTATGCATCTTTTACTTATCACAGTCAAGTTAAATTACTTCACTTAACATAGAGTAGAATAACCTTAAGGTAATACACTTCCATTTTCCCCTCCCAACCTTTATGCTATAGTTATCACAGATTTTAATTTTACATATGTTATAACTCTCATGATACATCACTATTATCTTTGATTAAACAATTCTCTTTGAAAGATAATTAAATAAGAAAAATATCCTATATATTTACCCATGTAGTTACCATTTCCAATGGTCTGCAAATATCCTTATTTCACTTTTATTTTTGAAAGATATTTTTATAGGATATAGAATTCTCAGTTGACAGTTCTTTTTCTTCCAGTATTTAAAGATATTGCTGTCTTCTCTCTTGCACTGCTTGCAAGGAGAAATCTGCCATCATCCTTAGCTTTGTTCCTCTGTATGTAGCATGTTCTCTGGCTGCTTTTAAGGTTTCCTCTTTATTACTGATTTTGAAAATTTGATTATAAGGTGAGTTGGTATAGTTTTCTTCATGTTCCTTGTGATTGCGGTTTGTTAAGCTCCTTAGTTCTTCAAGTTTATAATTTTCCTTAAGCTTGAAAAGTTTGGGGCCATATTTCTTCAAATATTTTTATGTCCCCTCTTTCAGGAAATCAGTTCCCACTAAAGTTATCTCATAGCTAACTGATGCTCTTTTTATCTTTCTTGGATTCTTTTTTCTCTGTGTATTCTATTTTTGACGACAATAAATAAGTGTTCAGTAGTTCTGCAATTTCTCTGGTATTTATAAAAATTGTACTCTGCCCAAGCTTTAAGGCTATGTATTTGTCATTCTTGTTTTTGCTTCTAATTGAGAGGGAATGGAAAAAAACACAGAAAGAGATATATAGATTAGTACCTTTTCGTAGAAATTTTGGCATATCTCAGCTCCTTTTTGTCAATCCTGTATATTTATTCTTTACCTATGTTTTCATCTTTTGTACATTTTATTTTGAAATTTTTGTTTGTTAGAGAGTTGGATTATTAACTGATTTTATCTCTTTCCTTGTACAGACCTAGAGTTCCAGAATTTCATTTTGGAGACTCCCATTAGGTTAATATTATATTTCCATTTAGATATGCAAGTATCAGTGAGACAATTAAAAATTATGTATTCTTTTCTTAGACGAATGTGCTTTTCACCATCTTTCTCAATCATTTACTCATTCCAGTTATGTTATATTATATTAGAGGACCACTTGCCAACCTACTTTGTGTTCCAGTATTTAGATATTACTATGGCAATGCATTTTATGTTATCTTTTTTTTACCTAACAATCTCCATCATTTTCACTCTCAAGTTTAAATATTTCATGATAGATATAACTTTTTACACAAGGTAACATTCTCTCACCACTTTCTATTTTCATCTATTTCTTTTGGTTAGCAGTATAGAGGGAGACTTCACTGATCAAAAATATGCTTGTCTCTTTAGTATAAGATCCTATTTTTGGAAACAATTCTCAACATGTATTTCAATTTAAAGTATTTTTAACAACAAAATAACTTACGCAGGTCCATAGTTGCATACAAATACTGCAGTTTCAGCTCCCCTAAGGTTAGGACAAATTCTAACTGCACAACCAAGTTTATATGAATTGGCCCAAACTACCTATAAGGAAAGGAATTTAAAAATAAAATATGCGAAAAAACTCTACACAAACAATGCATTGTGGGAACAGGTATAATGTTTGTCATGCTACAAAAAATGAATGTGCATAAATACTTATTGGCTATTTTTCCCTTAATTTCTAATATTTAGTTTAAAACAATTATTTTGTTAAGGCTGCTTTCATGAGTGCTACCTATTTTTCCCTCACTGGTAATTCTCACAAATAAAAATATAATATATAGCAAAAAGCATAATTTCTCCCAGATGATTTATGAAACATATTTTTATTTTCTTCATGGTCATGTCATACAAACAATATTAAAATCAGATTATAAATGAAAACAATAATTAACTTTTATTTCTTTTTCTCAGAAAAATTCTACCTAGTTTATGATCACATTTTAAATTTTATGGTCTTAACTATATTCTTACTTTTGTCAAGTCATAAGAGACAGATAGAGATTAAAAACATATTGACTTTATTGCAAAACAATGCCTGCCATAGGGATGGTGAATCTTTATTTTTATCTAGTTGCAAAGAATAGAAAAGTTATTCAAAAGGAAGAAGATTCCTGTGGAAAACTAGCCATGGGGAGAGAGAAGGAAGTGAAGAATGTTACTACTCCTTTGTGACAAGGATAGAATAAAATTTTCCTCCTTTCTCCAAATGAACAAAGGGAAAATACTGATTTACTCCATTTGGAAAACAAAAATAATCCAAGGAAAAATGATAAAGATTTTGACAACATAAGTGAATTTTCTGAAACTTATTTTACAATTCTACTAACAAAATGTATTAACATTTTTTATAAATGACGTATTAGTCACTATTTCCCATGGCCTGGGTGTAGCCAGAATCAATAGTTTTGCAAAGTATATTTTAATGGCTCTTTAATGTCTGGCAGTCAGCAAAGTGCAGTAAAATCACAATAAATCGAGAAGTAAGAGAGTTTTGCTTCTAACCATTTGTGTGATTTGGGAGAATGACAGATCAATGTTAAGCTAGTTTCCACTTAATAAAATGAGATTAAGCTAGATCTTTAAAAGATCTCTTTCCTTTTGAATGCTTTAGAAAGTTAATAAATTATATGACTACAAGTGTATATATTTTCAAGAAACCATGTTTGAAAATTTGGTTCATGAATAACTGACTATGCCATGAAATTCTATTTGCTTATTATATCTAAATTGTGAATTTTTTTTGCTTTGAGAATGGTAAAAATAAATATTGACTATATGTAAGTTAAAAATGTATTGCTTTCACTAAAGGGACTAGATGTAACATTAATATGAACACTGGTTGTAATTTCAATATGAATATCTGCAGAAGACAAATGAAGAAATTTTTAGCTCATTTTGTTTAGAACACTGAACAATATAGAATTCTTGAACCAATATGAAGAATGTACCCATTCCTAATTATTTAAGCATATATGTAAATTAGCCAGTGAGGAATGAGCTCCCGTTTCTGATGTAGCAATGTTAAGGGATAAGGGTTATCTGGGAACAGGTTCCTTTTTCCTTGCAACAATAGAGGAAACAAAGGATAACACAAAGGCTGTGATTCAGCCTTGATGTCATATTAAGGATATTGCTTTCTGCTTATTATCAGGATACCTGATGTTTGATTCCATTCTCTCAATTTTCCCAGCAGTAACCAAACCATATTTTTTGCTAACAACATATATCCTGAGAAGGGTTTCCAGTCTTATTGCAAACTGTTATTGGACAAAGAGTCAATAGACAGGGAGCATGGAAGCTGCTAATTTCTTTGTTTGGTGCACTTCTGGTAAAAATGACTTGCTTTAAGACACTCTATCTTAATTCAACTTATACAGATGAATAAGTTTGGAAAACAAAGTTAGCTCTTTCTGTTGCTTAAATGGGCCTTTCTAGGAGCTCAGTGCCATCTCTAGGATTAGCTTGGATAAAAAGTGACTATTACTTCTCACCAAACCTCCCATCTGAAACAACAAAAAGAATTGGAAAATTATAGGAAATAATATTTTTCAAGATACTGGACATCAGACAACAAAGAATAATGCCCCCTGAGAGTTGGGGGGGAAAGATGTGAGCTGTACAATTGTCCCAGTTTATTGCTTTGAGAGAGTTTCTAGGCCATGGCTGGGGGTGTGGAGTGATGGGGAAATCAGAAGAAGCTTGATGGATTCATATAGTTGAGAGACAGAGCTGAGAGTATGGGGAGACCAAGGAGGCAGGAACTCAAAGAGGATAGCATAGGAGAGGAGAAAATCTTACAGTGACACAACTGTGGATATCTACAGGGAGTCCTCATCATCATTTCAGCAGAGCAGTGATCAGAGCATGCACATGAAGACTCACCTATAAAAACTAGAGGTTCCACAGGGCCAGGAATAGGGCCTGTTCCCACTAGCCAGACTGGAAAATTTCATAATTTCTGGGGCATTGGGTACAGTATGCATAGGAACCATGCCTCACTGGTGAGAGATAATTAGCCCTAGACTAAACTCTGCTTTCATTCCACCCAACATATTTTGAAAGCAGAAGCCAAAAGGATCAAATAAATTCCAGATAACTGTATCCCAGAAGACAGTTCAGAAATATTTACAGGTATATAAATGATTCCAGCATCCAATAAGGCAAAATTTACAAAGTTGGGAATGCAACAAAATTTACCTAACATGATAGGAAGCAGGAAAATTTGACCCATAAGGAAGACGAAAAATCAATCCATTGAAACTAACCCAGAACATAGATGCTAGAATTAACAGGGAAAACATTAAAATAATTATAATTGTATCCCATATGGTTAAAAAGCTAGATGAAAGATTAAACATACTAGGTATAGTCACTGATGATATAAAAAAGAGAAAAATAAAACTTTTAGAGATGTAGACTTTAATGTTTAAGATGAAAAACAAACAAAATATCATTAATAGTAGAATAACATTACAAAGGAAAAGACTAGTGAATTTAAAGATATAACAATAAGACTATCAGGAATTAATTACAGAGAGAAAAAATTCAAGAAAAAAGAGAAGAGATCATCAATCAACTGTGGGGAAACTTCGAGTGGCTTCTACATAAGTAACTGGACTCTGGGAAGAGAGGAGTGAGGGAGAGTAACAGAAATAGTTCAAGAAACAATGGACAACATTTTCCCAAATTTGACTTAAACTGTAGACCTACAATTCCAAGAAGCTCGGTAAACGGCAACACAAAACACGTGAAGAAAACTGTGGTACATTATTATGAAATTGCTCAATACCTGTAACAAAGAAAAAATTGCAAAGGCAGTCCAGAGGAGAAAAGATATGTTAGCGCAGAGGAACAAATAAAAGGATTACAGAAGATTTCTTGTTGGAAACAATGCAAGTGAGACGACAGTGGAGTAAGGTTTTTAACGTTCAGGAAAAAGAAAAACCTCACTGTGTAGGGTTGTATTCCCAGTAAAAGTATCTTCCAAATGAAGGTGAGTTTTCCATAAACTCAAAAGAAAATGCTAAGAAAGTTGTCTTATGATTGAAATGTGCATGAGTAAGAACTAGTCAATAAAATGTCAAATATTTACCTGTGTATAGTGGCCACAAACTCTGGAACATGACGGACTATTAATATCATAAAATTTATTTTCATTACACCAGGCAACAACAGCAGATTTTGGTGTAAATATTCTGAATCCACCTAACCACATGTTTTCTCCAACAAATTGAAAAGCTGGATGGCATTCATATGATTTTGATAAACAGGTGTTGTGTTGGAATTTGCACTTCTTTGTCCATGCCTCAGCAATCTGCGCTAAACCTTCATCCCAAGTCTGAAAGATAAAAATCATTTAAATTGAATTGTGCATATTTGTTTGGATTAAAGTTATTTTAATGATTGTAATCAATTGATTTTTGTTTAAATTTTTATTTTAATAAAATATAGTTTTTATTTTGTATTTATTATGTTCATAGTTAGTCATTTCTTTTTAGTTCTGCTTCAAAACCACTCATTTAGTGCCCACCCTATCACAGTTCATCTTCGTATTTCCAGGACCCAGTTGATGGCCTGGTACAGTAAAGGCACTCAACAAATATATTTGAATGTGATTTAAATCAGTCAGAGTTCACAGATTAGTAATTCAGAAGGTCATGCAAATATGTCATAAGTAAAGGATGAGTGTCCATTTATAATTTCAAAGATAAAAAGCCTCTCAGTCCTCTAAGAATAAAATTCTCTTAATTTGATCAAGGGTATCTATAAAAAAAACCCTGCCACAAGTATCAGTATATAATGGTGAAATGTTGAAAGCTTTCCCCCAAGATTGGGAATGAAACAAGATGTCTCATTATTTCTATTTAAAATTGTATTGGAAGATAGGTAGTACAATAAACTATGTGACCTATAAATATATAAGACAAAAGATATAAAATATATAACGATTGGAATATATCATTATTCACAGATGACTGGGTGCATAGAAAATTCAAATGAAAACACAAACAAAACTATAAGAAATAAATGAAAGTATCAAAGTTGCCAGATACCAGGAAAATATACAAAATTGTATTTCCATATACAATCCAGAAACAAATAACTTCAAAAACATCAAATATGTATAAATAATTCTAGTAAATGATTTAAAAAAAATCTCTACACTGAAAACTACAAAATATCACTAAGAGAAATTTTTAAAGACTGAAATAAATGGAGAGAAATAAAATGTTCATGGACTAGAAGATTCAGTATTGTAAAGAATATAGATCTTAATATTTAATTAATTTATTTTTTTAATATTTATTTATTTATTTGAGGAAGATTAGCCCTGAGCTAACTGCTGCCAGTCCTCCTCTTTTTGCTGAGGAAGACTGGCCCTGAGCTAACATCCGTGCCCATCTTCCTCTACTTTACATGTGGGACGACTACCACAGCATGGCTTGCCAAGTGGTGCTGTGTCCACACCTGGAATCCGAACCGGCGAACCCTGGGCCACTGAAGAGGAATGTGCGAACTTAACCACTGCGCCACCAGGCTGACCTAATTCACTTCTAATGGAAATCCAAGTAGCTTTTTTCCCTGGAAATCGATTATGATATGTATATAGAAATTCAAAGAGCCAACAATAGCCAAGCCAATCTTTACAAAGTAAAACAAAGCTGGAAGACTTACTCCACCAGATATCAAGACATCATAAAGCTACATTAGGACAGTGTAGTCTTTGCACAAAGGTAGACAAAGAGCCCGATGGAACGGAATGGAGTCCAGAAACAATTTTTAACAAAAGTGACCTTGTCTTAAGGTTGCTATTATTAGCAAGATGATTTTAAAAAATTTTTATTTTAAACTAATTCTAGATTCACAAGAAGTTATAAAAATAGTACACAGAGGTCCTGTGTAAACTTCACCTCGTTTCCCCATTAATAATGTTTTATGCTACTATAGAACGATATCAAAATCAAGAAATTGACATTGTTACTATTAACGGATTAAGATTACAAGAGGTTTACGTGCATCCACTTGTGTTTGTCGTTTTATGCAATTTTTTATCACATGTATAAACTGAAGTAACTGCCCCCATAATCAAGATATACAACCTTTGCATCAGCACAATGATCCTTAAAGTCTTACTCACTCCCCGCCCTATCCCTAACCCCTGGCATCACTAATGTGTTCTCCATCTCTATAATTTTGTCATCTCAAGAATGTTATATAAATAGAATCCCACAGAATGTAACCATTTTGAAATTGGCTTTTTTTCACTCAGCATAATTCTCTTGAGATCCATCTACACTGTTTCTTGTGTCGATATTTTATTCCTCTTTACTGATGAGTAGTATTCTATGGTATGGATGTACCACAGTGTGTTCACTTATTGATGGAAATTTGGATGTTTACAAGTTTGGGCTTTTACCAAAAAAGCTGCAATGAACATGTGTGAAAAAGTTTTTGCATAGCAGTTAAGTTTTCCTTTTTCTCTCCAGTATTTGGCATTGTCACTATTTTTTATTCTAGCTTTTCTAACTGGTCTGTAGTGATACCATATTGTGGTTTTAATTTGCATTTCCCTGATGGTTAACAATGTTGAACATACTTTCATGTGTTTACTTCCATCTGGCTATCCCTGTGGTGAAATGTCTCTTCAGTCTTTTGTTCATTTTCTAGTTGAATTGTTTTATTTACTGTTGAGTTTTGAGAGTTCTTTACGGATTCTAGACAGTTCTTCCTGAGATAAGTGGTTTGTATATATTTTCTTCCAGTCTGTAGCTTGTCTTTTCATCTCTTAAGAGGGTGTCTTAAAGAGCAGAATTTTTTAATTTTGATGAGATTCAACTTATTAACTTTTTCTTTTATAGCTTGTGGTATTGGTGAGATGTCTAATCAAAGTAACCCACCATATTAGGAAGCCTCATCTAGCTGTAGGTGTTGAGGATCTTCTCCACTTTTTCTTCTAAAAGTTTTATGTTTTGCATTTAAATATATGATTCATTTTGTGTTAATTTTTTATAAGTTGTAAAGTTTAGGGCAAAGCTCATTTCTGTTTTTTCTCTGCTTATGGACGTCAAACGTGTGTAGAGTCGTCCATAGTATTTGTCTGCAGGGTCTGTAATGATACCCCTGATTCATTCCTGATATTGGTAATTTGTGCCACTGTGTATTTCATTGACCTTTTCAAAGAATCAGATTTTTTATTCTATTGATCTGTTCTATCATTTTTCTGTTTGCAACTTCTTTGATTTCTCTTATCATTATTTTCTTCCTTCTTTATGTTTATTTTGCTTTTTTTCTTGTTTATTTGGGTAGAATTTAGATTATCCATTGAATAGCTTTCCTCTTTTCTTTTTTTTTCTTCTTCTCTCCAAAGCCCTCTAGTACACAGTTGTGTATTCTAGTCACCAGTGCCTCTGGTTGTGCAATATGGGACGCCGCCTCAACACGGCCTGATGAGTGGTGCCATGTCCGTGCCCAGGATCCAAACTGACGAAACCCACGGCCGCCTAAGCAGAATGTGTGAGCTTAACCACTCAGACACGGGCCTGCCCCCTCTTTTCTAATATAACCGTTTAGTGCCGTACATTTCCCTCTCAGCACTGCCTTAGCTGCATTGTATAGGTTTTGATATATTTTCGATATATATTTTTAAAATTTTACTTGAGACTTTCTCTTTGACCCATGGGTTACTTACAAATGTGTTTAATTTCCAAGTGTTTAGAGTTTCTTGTTATCATTATGCAGTGATTTCTTAATTTCATTATGTTCTGAGAACATACTGTATACAATTTCAATTCTCTTGAACTTACTGAGTTTTTATTTTGCGGCTCAAGATATGGTCAATCTTGCTTAATGTTCCATAGGCTTGATAAGAATGTGTATTCTCTAGCTATTGAGTGGAGTGTTCTATAAATGTCAATTAGATCCTAGTTGATTAATGGTATTGTTAAGTTCTTTATCCTTTATCCTTGCTGATTTTCTGTCTTATTGTTGAGAGAAGAATTTTGAAATCTCCAAATGTAATTGAAGACTTTTCTATTTCTTCTCTCAGTTATATCAGCTGTCCTTCCTGTATTTTAAAGGTCTGCTGTTTGGGGCACACAAATTTTTTATTACAATTTCTTTGTGATTGATTGATCATTTTATCATTATGTGATGTCATTCTCTGTCTCTGGTAATTTTCTATGCTCTGAAATCTGCTTTATTTGACATTTATAAAGGGAGTCCTGTTCTCCTTTGATTCACACTTCCATGACATTTCTTTCTCCATACTTTTACTTTCAACCCACCTATATCATTATTTTTGAAGTGAGTTTCTTGGTTACAGCATATTTTTGGCTCCTGTTTGTTTGTTTGTTTTTAATCCACTCTGTCAATCTCTGTTTTTTAATTGATATATTTGGACTATTTACATTTGCTGTACTTATTGATAAGTTAGAGAATGTCTACCATTTTATTGTTTATTTTTAATTTTATCCCTCATTTTTCATTCCTGTTTCACTTTTCCTGTCCTCCTGTGAATTACTTGAACATTATTTAGAATTCATTTTGATTCATCCACAGTATTTTTCAGTATATATCTTTATACAGCTGTTTTAGTGGTTGCTATAGGTATTACATAATATATGTAACTTATCACAAACTACTGGTGTCAGCTTTTACAAGTTTGAATGAAATGTAGGAATATTACTTCCATTTAGGTCCCTTTACCACTCACTCCACCAATAATATAATTATCTTAAATATTTATTCTACATATATTAAAACCATATCAAACAATGTTATAATTTTTGCTTCAATTGTCAAACATAATTTAGGAAATATGAGAAGAATAGTTTATTTATTCATATTTTCACTCTTTACCTTCTTCTTTCTTCATTCCTGATGTTCCAAGAGTCCTGGTTTATCATTATCTTATTGTTTACAGAATTTTCCTTAGCTAGTCTTTCAGAGTAGGTCTGCTTATGACAAATTATCTTAGTTCTCCTGAATCTGAGAATGTCTCAATTTCACCTTCACTCCTGAAGCGTAGTTTCTTTGGATAGAATTCTGGCTGACTCTTCTTTGAACGTGAAATTGAAATTGAAATCGAAAATGTTGTGCCACTTCCTTCTGGCCTCCATGGGTTTGGATGAGAAGTTTGTTGGCATTGAAATTGTTGCTTTCCTATAGGCAATGCATTCTCTCCAGCTGCTTTTAAGTTGTTTTTCTTTGTCTTAAATTTTCTGAAGATTGATTATGATGTATTTTGGAATGAATTTCTTTGAGTTCATCATATTTGGGCTTCACTCAGATTTATTATTTATGTCTTTATCCAAATTTTGGAAATTCTCAACTACTATT